TATGGTGTGTGCAGTGCACACACCATAATAATTACCTGTGCCTTTAGGGGGGGGGAGAGTTTACACTGCCTTACACTGGGAAAGGCAGTGATTTTTCTTGAAAGAAAACTGTCTTCAAAATGCAATTCTATATACAATATAAAGATTAAGAAAAAGTCAGTTGTCTTTCCTACTCAAGCAAACAGATTGCGATTATAGTATAACTTTTAAAGTTTTGTTTTCATTCATTGATATACAGTATATATACTGTATATAGGGGTCAGTGATTTGGAGTCAAATAAATTTACAATAGATATCTATACACAAAACAACAACAAAAAATCAATGATTTTTACTAAACATATTGGGGCTCAGTTTAGATCCCAAATGTAAAAATAGATAAAAGCAATCTGAATAATACTAATACTATGATAATAATAATAATAATGGTATCGGAAAAGTCATACACAACCAGAACCTATAATATATTGGTTCAAATCTACAAACACAATGAATAAAAGTTATTGTCATTAAAATAATGATAACAATAGTGAAAACAAAAGTTAATAACTATCGACAACTATTGGGTCACACCATATGTCAAATATGTTGGTATTATTTTTGTGGCATTTTTTCTGGTCTATCGGTGAGCTATAGTGAGGGTCATATAAAATACATATATATATATATATATATATATATATATATATATATATATATACAGCACTGTCTGCCCTATTAAGTGTCTGTCTGTTCATTTCACTACTATTACTATATCATTGCTAAAGTGAATGAATAGCACGAATTCATATGCGACACGTGCCTCACGTGCCCACTCAATATGCATGACTTGACACGCGCCCTATGCCCGGGCTCTCTATCCCTTAGCTGCTCAACCGTGTTATATAACTTACCAATGCCTATGCCTTTTTGTATTGAGGTTTCTATAGTATGATCAGTACAGTTACAAATACTGGATGTTTTAAAGTAATTTTTATTCTCCAATATTTTATACTTAACATTTATTTTTTAATTTCTATATTTTCTAATAAAGTTTTAATTTTTTATGTACAGTATATACTATACAAACATAATTAATATAGTTTTGGATATAACCTTATATTTTCAGTCAACTTTCAACTCCCACTGTGGATACTATGGTATGGTTTACCGCTATTTAAAGGGTCTATTAGTTAAGGATTACTGAATGCAATGACTGAGTGATGCAAAGTTAGATATACATTGATTGAAGTGTAGGGAGGCTTACAATATATATATCATATATACTGTACTGATATATTAAATATAAAGCTTTTTTTGAACACACAACTGAAATTATAAAACTTTAAATATAAGTATAAAGTATAAGCATATTTGTGGCACAAAATTAAAATACTGTTAATATAAAGTATTTTGTATAGTCTTTGTGTTATCAATAATTTGAACGATCAGTCAAGTGATTCATAAGCACTTACTATTATATATGACAATAATTTTGTTGATAATGATTGCCACTTAATGGTTAGGGATTATTAAAATTGGTCAAAACAGATATATATATGTCGAGTAAATATTATTATTAAATAAATTGCAAAACTTTACAAATAACTTTTTTTCTGTTTAGTAAATAAATTGTAAATAAATTGATGTAAAATTGTATATTAAATAAATAATAATTTTATGTGATATATGAGAGACACCTTTGGGTATACACTGAAAGATTGTAATTTAATTTATAAAATGTTAAATATTAAATAACGATAAAATTTTTATATTATTCTTATCATTATTTTATTAATTAATAAATTTACATAAATAATATTAATATTTATTTTATACTCTTTTTTGGATTAAAAACCTAAATAAGTTATTAAATTGTCTAAATGTTATCACATATTCATAAAACGTGTGTCTCTATTATATTAAATTTATTGCACACATTGTCCTCTAAATTGCAATAATAGTAATAATGATTTTGTATTTGAATAAACATAATGTGCATTAATGTTATCATTATTATGATTATGTAATACTTGTGTTTGGCTCCGGTGGTCAAACACACACATAGTGAGAGAGAGAGAGAGTAGTCTATTGGCGGCACCGGTATTATCAAACAAAAGGAAATACATTTTATTGTCATTTTGATTGCTAATCGCATGTCATTTAGATTAACCCCATTTCCGTCATAAGTCACACACAGACACACAAGCATTTGCTTTTAAGCAAACTTTATATACTATAACATACTATTTATAGTACTTTATATACAGTATACTGTAATTTTAAATACAGTGAAGTATGTAATACATACTATGTATTCACATATACAATATTTCCCTGACTTTTGGCCCGTTAGCTCACCTGTCAGTGCCATTGATTTATATGCAAATATTCAAAATGAGATCACAATAAGTTTTTCCTATTTTATTTGAATCGTTTATTAATAATTATCATAAAATTCATTGAAATAAACTGTTTTTGTTGTTGATGGGATTTTAGTAATATTTTTATTTTTGTATATTATTTAACATTTTACTGTTGTTGATGACAATATTTAGTACTATTATATTAACTTTTTCTATGGACTAATAGCTAAATAATAATAACTTTTGTTTTTGTTGTGCATTACATTAACAAATCCACTCAATCATTGACAATAGCAGAAAACATTTACTACAAAAATAATTGTCTATAAATTATATCACACACACACACACACACACACACATCACTAAATAATTATTTGTAACACAAATTTTTGTGTTAAACATGTGTTTTTTTAGCAAAAATGATTATCAATATAGTGTTAGTAAATGACAAATCACCAAAAAATTTCTATATATATGATTTATATAATAATAATAATAAAATTCTAATTTATATTTATTTGTTTATTAATGAGTTATTTTTTAGTGCATTTTGTTATAGTATCGGGTACAATTTTCTATATTAAAATATTTTTATAACTAATAAATCTGTTCTAGTTAAAATTAGAAATTTATTATTTTAGTGTATATCAATAGTTGACATCTTACACTTATTTATACACAGTTTACCTATTTAACAATTTATTATAAAATAAACTAGATCATATTTAACTTTAAAAAAATATATGCTTTATAAATGATTACATTAAATGTTTTTAAAAACTTGTGTAATAATTATATAAAACATATTAATTAACAAATTACTATGACTAATCTATAAGTAATTTTAAATTATATTAAAATTAATATCAAAATATTAAATAATTATTTTATATGACAATAATATAAATTGTTACTTTAATGTTACTCGATTTTTGTTATAAATGTATTTTTTTTTAAATTATAATTGAAGAGGTTTGACTAAAATATTAATTTTTTTAAACATAATAATATTATTAAGAGATATTAATACTGTTTATTCTAGACAAAAGTGAAAAAAAATCGTGATTGACATGACACCCCACCAAAAAAAAACATATTATTTAACTCATGTATATCTATATCATATGGTTTATGAAATACTTTTTGTTTAAAAAATCTAACCTAACCTACTGTAGTATCAAACTATTTTTTTTGTTATTAAATATAAGACATTGTATATGTTTGCACTAAATACATGTGTTTTTGAGATCACGAACCGTACAATTTGTTTGATGGCTATATTTGGCACACATTTTACGATAATACTGTATATGTCTGGTTATAGTAAGATATCACCTTGATTATTGAAAATAGATTTAAATATAATAGAATACATGTATTAATCATTATTTTTTTATAATAAAAATTAAAACAATTTTAATTACTAGTAATCAATCAGATAAATATTATTAATAATGTTATAGAAATATATTGTAGTAATTAAATGATCACTCGCTCAGTAAATGTTATATTTGTTTTTTTTTCATTTATTTATTAATAGTTTGTAATATAATTGTCACAATAATTATAACTTCATTATATTAATGTTACACATTTTTTTCTATTGTTAATATTACTATACTATATAAGAATATTCTTTAATAAATTAATGGGAAATATTCTCAATGTTAGCATTTGTTATATATTATTATTATTATTATTATTATTATTATTGTGAGTATTTTTAACCACATGATTGTATTATTATTATTTAATTGATGAGTCATATGATTATACTATACTATAATATAGTAAATGTTATGACTATTAATACACAAGTATTTTTTACTATTAATAATACTTACAATAAGTTTGATTGGGTTAAAAATACTCACAATAATAATAATAATAAATATATGATAACATTTAGACAATTTAATAACTTATTTAGGTTTTTAATCTCAAAAAAAAAAGAATATAATATAAAAATTATTAATATTATATTTATTTTACAAATTATATATAAATATTTTAATTTTAGTATTATTTATGTAAATTTATTAATTAATAAAACAATGATAAAAATAATATAAATATTTTATCGTTATTTTATCTTACATTTAATCGAGTAGTTTATATGCAATACTAGTGCACATACATTGAGAGCACTGGAGAGGCCAATGGGAGTCATATAATTCTATTATTCAAAAATGATTGCACAGTACTCTCCACTCACGTCAACGCTTCTACACATATGGATAGTGAATGCGCGCAATTGATTATACAACTACCTACTAGTGCCCAGAGATCGAGATACTGATATACTTTATATATATATACTGTATATATACTACTTGTGCTTTATTATACATATAAACCAATTCATATCTCTATTCTTTTAAAAATACTCAATCAGACATCAAATAACTTGTGGTGAACTCACATACAAGTTCTCGACATTGTTTGACTAACATTACTATCAAACAACTAGTCTTTCTTTTTTTGCATCAGTTTTAATATAATTAACTTCTTCTTCTTCTTCTCGATGGCCAAACTATAGTAATCTTCAGTCGAAGATTTAAAAAAAACTTTTTTTTTGATAAAAATAAAAATAAATAAAATTATTATTGAATGTCTTCATCAATAAATTACAAAAAATTTTTGTTGGAAAAGTTATCGCAATATGAGAGTCGCTTAAACCAATTGAACGACACTTCCCTGTCATCACTGCAGACATCATTGTCGACACCGTTGTCTTCATCGTCGTCTTCTTCAAAGATTTTACCAACAGATTTGTCTTCAACTACAACAACAACAGCAAAAACTACAACAACGACAGCGAGTAAACTATCGAAACTATCGCCAAAGGGTATGGAAAGCCTTATCCGTGTCGTCACACCAAAGACTAATCGCATTGAAATCGGAGGTAATTAGTGATATAATTATTATTTTTTATTAGTAGTATTATTATACTATGTTTTCATTTAAGTTTATTGATTTAAAATCCAATGCTTTGTTTTAGTTTCTATTATAATGCAAATGAAATTAATTAAATTAAAATCATTGTAACAATAATTACAAAAATATCTGTGTTTTATATAACAGATAATACTATTACATAAGTGTAGAGAATTTTTTTCACAGTTTAGTTTTTATCGATAAAAATAACACACAAATTGATTTTACTTCAAATTTACTATTAATTTACTATTTCTATACAATTATCTATCAATAGGTAAAGCTCCTGTATGTATGTATTTATCTCTCTTTCTCTGTGTGTGTGTCTGGTTGTGTTGTGAATAAGATAAAATCACATATAGAAATCGCACATAAAGTATATAAATATATATAATATCAATAATATAATGTGCAGGACTTTACCCTATAAAAACAAATCATTTATATATTGTATAAGTATTGTGCACAAAGACACATGTGATAATAAAAATAATATATACGATTGTATATCATGATATTTTTAAACACACACACAGTTTTTTATCATTATTAAAATTAATGTATTTTTTAAATAATTATTTATATAAAGAATTGTTGTATTTTTTTAAATGGCTTTAGAAATAAATAATAAGTGATTATAGATAGTCAGGCATAAGTTATATATATGTATAGATAATAGAGATAAAAGGTATATATATATATTATATATAAAATTATATAACTGTATAATTTTTAACTATTCTTATATTAATATAATAAATTTTAACTTACACTTCATTTATTATATAATCTTTTAAAAAACTAATTTAAAAATCTTTTTTTATTATAAAATTATATAATATAATATATAAAGCCTAATAATAATAATAATAATAATAAATTTCGATTTATTTTTCTCTAATGTTTTATATTTAAAATAAGTTTTTGTCGTGTGTATAGTTTTTCTCAGTTAATATTTATAATTTAATATTTTTAAATAAATATATTTTTGTCAAATAATAAATTATAATAATATAAATTAGTATAAAAGCTTAAACTTATATAAGCAATACTTTTACAAAAGATTGTTAAATCAATACTTTCATTAGTTAATCAAAAATATAATTATAGTATATTTCGTGATATATATAATATTTTTTTTAAATTCAAATAATTTGATTACATATTTAAAAAGTAATTTTGAGTTTTTAAATTAGTCAATAAATATCGAAAAAATTATACTTAATGGCAGGAATATTTATAAAATTTATTATTTAAACTATAATTATAAAATATACAGTTTTTTGTTTTAATTATTGAAAAACAGTAATTATATTTTAAGACAATAACATATTCACACAGAATAACATTTATTTAAAAGAAATAATTTAATTTAATTTAATTTAATTACAATTATATTATATATACTGTATATAAATAGATATATAAATCACTACATAAATAGTATAAAACAATTTAATTACAATCAAAGTTTTATTTATTACAACAAAAAACTACTGTATATAATATTAGATATAAATACAAATATCTGATTTTAGATAATAAGGACTTTTATTTAATGCCCGCAATTAATATATTACCAGAATATGAATTTATATTGCATTTGTTCGTACGATAGATAGTCAATGAGTGAGTGAGAGAGAGAGAGAGAGAGAGAGAGARAGAGAGAGAGAGAGAGAGAGAGAGAGAGAGAGAGAGAGAGAGAGAGAGAGAGAGAGAGAGAGAGAGAGAGAGAGAGAGAGAGAGAGAGAGAGAGAGAGAGAGAGAGAGAGAGAGAGAGAGAGAGAGAGAGAGAGAGAGAGAGAGAGAGAGAGAGAGAGAGAGAGAGAGAGAGAGAGAGAGAGAGAGAGAGAGAGAGAGAGAGAGAGAAAGGGTATTGAGAGTCAACACCTGTTGACTTCTCAAACTTCAAACAATAAGTTCAAAATGTGATATAATATATATATATAGTGTATATATAGAGTACTCTATAAAAATGTGTTCAATATTATTATATACGACGGTAACGATAACGGCCACCAATTGGTTTGTTTTGTTTAGTTGATTGACGATAATAACGGCTAACAATTTGTTTTGCGAAAACAGTGTTTTTAAAAACTAAAATGTGTTTTTAGTATAGAAAGTGTATTGTATTTTTCAAACACACAATATTTCAATGCATTACTTTTATTTTAATGTTTGGCCGGTTTTTCATATGGACTAACGGTATAATTTTGATTATAAATCAATATATTATTTATTATTATTATTATTATTTTATTGTTATTTTTATTATTACTATATATCTATTAATTACTATGAATGAGGAAACTATATTATTAATTAAAGTTCTTTGTACTTTCTATAATGTCATTTACATTTATTGTCTATTATGATAATAAATAATAAAAATCTATGCAAATTATAAATACCGTATAATCAATATTAAAAAAAAGTTCAACTTATTATTAAATAATAAAACTTTGATTGCAATATAAAAATAATTATTTCTGAAATAGTCATTGATTTCTTATGAAATATTATTGCAAATTATATATAATATAATATTTATATAGAGATTACAGATATTTAAATCTTTAATCAAATTTATGATATCTCTAATTAAGTGGTTAGGGAAAATAGACACATTTTTGATGTGCCAATGCTATGAAAAGCAATTATATATATATAAATATATACAATATATATATATATATGTATATATAGTAGTTTAAAATATTTTAAACAAACAAACTTATGATATCTGAAAAAACTGTTTTTTTTGATAACCAAACAGTATTGTAATGATAAACCATCCATGAAATACAGTATAATAAATGGATAATCAAACATATCTATTGCTTTTACGAAATGTTTTGCTTTTATAAATCCAATATAAATAACTCATTTAGTTTGATTTAATCAAAATTTTAAATGTTTATTATAGTAATTGTGTTACAATGTGTTGTTGAAACTTTTTATTTTAGTTATTAATTATCTATTATATTTGTATTGTGTATATTATATAGAGGTATTTTAGTAATATTATTGTAAATATTATTTAAAAAATACAATTAATTTTGTATTTATTTATAATTTAATTTCTATTTTTTCTACAGCTTTTTCAATTTTTTTTTTATTATTTAAAAGATTTAAAAACACAATTTTTTCAATACATTTCTCAACAAAACATTTTTTTAATTATTTAGATATAAAATATTTGTATATCTTCTATATTTAGATACACTTTCAATTTATTAAAAAAAATCTCATATTTTTAAAATCTGAAACTATTTTCTAATTTTTGTAAAAAAAAACTTTTTTTTATTTTGTTTTTTGTCTAATCAAAAACCATTTGCAAAAGTGGTTTCAAATTTTGTTTTTATTTAAATCTTTATATAATACTGTATAAGATTTTAAAATAATAATAATAATAATTTGTGGACTATTTTGTTGTTTTTGTTGTCACCAGATATGACATTAATATCGATGAGCAGCGAAAACGACAACTATTCGTCATCTTCTGGCGAGATATCAATCGATAAGAAGCTCATCAAAGAAATAGAGTCAAAGAAACGGATGGAAGAAGAGACGAGAAGATGTAGCTCTTCTGTTGACATCAAACCAGTGCTACCAAAGCCACCGCCTCTCATATCGCAGCGTCATTCAGGCCCTACGGTTGTCCCCAATAAGGAACAGATCTCAACAATGTATGGCTCATTGTCTAAGAGCAGCACTGATATAAAGACTGGTGTCTATGGACAACAGCATCAGCCATATGGCGAACATAGCATTCAGAGCTCACCTATGCCTCCGACCCATAGACTATCGCTGACTACCGTATCGCTGTATAATATGCCATACATTAGTGCCACTAATTACGAGCCAAAAGCTAATAGTGGCGCACCTGTGCATCAACTGGCAACAACTGGTACGCGCAACGACACGTGGCACGCGCCCACTCATCCCAGTACTGGCACTACACTAAGGCCAACATGTAGTGGCAACTGCTGTCTCAATGTATTGCCACTTAATAACAGTTGGCTTCACGCAAATGGAACCACCGATAGCAGGCCCTGTGCTGTAAATACAGGTGAGTCCTCTATTATAATCATAATTTCATATATGGGTTACTCTACTATCTTTGTGCTCTCTCTCTTTCTCTCTCTCTTTCTCTCTCTCTTTCTCTCTCTCTTTCTCTCTCTCTTTCTCTCTCTCTTTCTCTCTCTCTTTCTCTCTCTCCACTCTTGCTTTTATCTCTATCAATGCATGTAATTATTATGACTCGACTTTTTTGTTAAATCACCCAAATATATGAATAAGCTATATATATATATATACATACATTGCATGCATTATGTATTCAAAACTAAAATGATTATATTTAGCGGTAAAAATCAATCCATAAATGATTGTTATGTATTTTTATTGTTAATATCATTTTTTCAGGGATTGTTTCATTTTAACTTAAATTATTATTTTTGTTATTATTATTATTATCATTATTATTTTATTAATGAATATTTATAGCTACAATAATAACATGTACTGTACATATATTGTATGATTAACTTATTTATTGTCATTATTCATTAACAATTTACTGTCAAAATCATCTCATATGGTATGTCCCTATGATTTTTAGTGATGAAAATTTTAGTAAAAAATATTTTTAAATTAGTATTTTTCAAAATATTTTTTCCATGTAATAATAGAAAAACAAAATGAAATGATTCATTATTTTGTTATTACAAATATTGTTATTACAAATTTAGTTATATATACAGTATATTAATATTGACAAATGTCCTTGCTTATTTTATATTTGACTCATTCAATATAGTCTGACTATCAAAATTATGCAACAATATTATGTTATACTATATATAAATTATATATTTTATAATTTATATATAGTATAAATAGTTTTATTTTATTTTTATTATAACATGTTATTTGTATTTTTGTTGTTGTTGTTGTTGAATATACTTTATTATTATATTTATAAAATTAATTATACCAATTTATCAATTACACAATTTTTAAAAATTAGATGCCATACACTAAAATTAGACAACTTAATTGTTATAACAATTATTGTATTAAATAACAGATTTCTATTTAGTGTTATATTTATTTTGTTAAAAATAGATCTATTGTTTGAAAGAATATTTCTATAGTATAGTTGTTTCAAAATTTGATGTAAACAAATTGAAATATTTTTATTTATGCTGTTTTTATTTATTAAAAAACACATTTTATAATATAGATATATCAAATATGAAAAATTTATGGTTATTTTTATATATATAATAATGTTTTGTAATATATTGGTTGACAATTAAAATTAATTATCAACCATTTGTTATTTTTGCTGGTTATATGTTTGCCTTAAAGTGCAATGTTTTATAGTTGATAACAAAATATCTAAATATATAAATTCAGTAAAATCACAAAATAAACGGATATTTATTTCATAAAATATAATAATAGAATCAAACCGTAAAATCAATTGTTTAAACAACTGTTCAATACATGGGATGAGAAATATTACTTATTTTTTCAAACAAATTATAATATTTATGCCCATTAAACAAATAAATTTTTACATGCATTATATATATACCGGTATATAAATCTATATTGAAAATAATTTATATGTAGAAAAATTAATATATTCTGGTATATAAACTAAAAATATCTTTTAATATCAAACAATAATAACTTGTTTATTAGGTTTGATTGACATAATTCATATGATTTTTGTTTCTATTTATTATTAGAGAAATATTTTATCATTTAATAATTTTTTAACAACAAGTTATGTCATATATTAACTATGTAAATTAGCTTGAATATTATTATTCAATATATGCTACATATTTTCAATTGTGGTCTACAAACACATTTAAATATTTTTTGTTTTTATTTCAATAATAGTAATTTTTAAAAAATAATTTTCATATGATTATTATACTTAAAAAAAATTATTATTTAAATTGCCATCACTTTTATATAGAGATGAATGTATACACATTTAACAGACGGTTTGGCACTCCGTCACCATCAGTAGTCATACCTCCATCGAGTATCAGTCCATCGCATTTGAAAAATCTGCCGAACATTTTGAACGCCCGACAGCTTATGGATCATCAATCTCTGAGCGACCAAATGCGTGATTATCAGAGTTACCATCGATTGGTACCGAAACGAAAAATGTCCGACTATTCAATCGATGCCATTCTTGATCTCAAACGAGATAACAGTGAAAACAATTTCAATAGTCACGAGTTTAGTCATTACAACAGATATAACAATCAGTCAAAGCGTTTGAACGACGAACCGATGAATTTGTCGAAGAAGTGCTTCTTCAACAGCGACGGCGGCAACAGTAGCGGTAGTGTCTCTTCGCCGCCGCTTTCAATCTATTCGGCACTTAGTTCGCCGGTTGGCTCTCCGTTGAGCTCAGGTATGGAATCGCCGCCATACAAGTCATTGAAGTCGGCGACCAACACAATGATGTCAATGCCGTTAATGATTAAGACCAATGGACACCATCACAATCCGCGGGTTTACCGTAATCTGACAAATGACCGCATATTTGAATGCAAACAATGCGGTAAAGTATTCAAACGGTCGTCCACACTGTCGACACACTTATTGATTCACTCGGACACCCGACCCTATCCATGTATATATTGTGGTTCGTATATATTTATTTGTAGTTTATTTTAAGCTATGTTTTGCTAAATGTCTTGTGGCTCCTGTAGGCAAACGATTTCACCAGAAGTCGGATATGAAGAAACACACGTACATACATACCGGCGAAAAGCCACACAAATGCGTGGTCTGTGGCAAAGCGTTTAGTCAGTCATCCAATTTGATAACCCATTCCCGCAAACACACCGGTTATAAGCCGTTCTCATGCGAGCTCTGTCCCCGAGCTTTCCAGAGGAAAGTTGATCTCAGGCGACACCGCGACACTCAGCACCTGAACCATAATGGCAACACTCAAACCAATAATACCAATAAAAACATCGCAACAAATGATCTCAAAATGCGAAATCATTTTGTCTTTAAATAAAATTATAACTATTTTATTAATACTTTTTAAATGTAAGAAAAAATTATTATTATATTTGTTTTGATGTAAAACGTAATGTCATTTTCATATTCATTGTTGCCATTTGATTGTCTTTTCTCTTATATTATTGATATTAATAGTTATTACAAATTTATAAATATTAAATGTATATTTATTGTTTACTCTTACATTTAACTATGAACTATAAATCTCTATTATTATTAATGTAAACTTATATGTTTTACATATTATTATATATATTATTTTTTAGCACTTTATAATAGTAGTGCTAATATTGTAATCTACTAATGTTTTACACAAATTATATATTAATGAAAAGTTATTAATATGTTTAATCATAATTTTCACATTGTTTTTAAATATATTTGAAAATGATTGTCAAAATTGTTGTGTCAATCTTAAATAATCTTCAATTATTGTATTTATATTATTAATTAAATTAATTAATAAGATAATCATAATAATTAAACATATCAAAACTTTGTAATAAATCAAATTATTAAATAAAATAAATAATTATATTATTCATTATTTTAATATTATAGAATATTATTCTAAATAATTTTTATTTACAAAGTTTAATTATACAATTAATACAAAATAATTACAAACAACAACAACATAAAATAAATTTAAAATATTGAGTAAAATATATAATGTCTTTTTTAAATATAAAAAAATATTAATTACTAATTAAAATTATATATTAGATATTTATAGAGTTTTAACTTAAATTTAATTATTGCAATGTATTAAATGTTTGTTTGCACAAACAATCAATGCCAATTCATACAGTAATTGTTTATTCAATATACGATATAATATTGATATTTATTAAATATGATGATCTAATTTTAATGTATAAATCATCTAGTCTAATTTTATTTTTCATTTTTATGCTATATTTTTTCAAAATTCAAATTATTAAAAACTTTTAGTACATATTATTTCTTTTTCTTTTTTTTTTGTAAATATCTAAATTTAGTAGAAGTATATTATTCTTATAAATATATCATATACAGTATTTATAATTATTATAAATATAAACTATTAATATAAAATATTTATTGTACTAAAATTGATAAATTAATATATTATTAGACAAATTATTTTCAATTTACTATAGTTTATAAATAATATTTTAATGGAAAATATATATTTTGTAACAATTGTTGATTTCAAATACATGCCTAAAGAGTCTACTATTATATTACAGATATTTAGTGACTGTATATTTAAGTCACACCTGTTGTCTAAAGCAAACAAGTAATTGATTGAGGATTTGTATTACCTGTGATACTATGTCTCTCTCTCTTCAACAAAAAAAAACAACAAAAACTATAAATAAAATAAAACACAACTGTTTTAACTTTGCTTAACATAAAGTCATTGTTTTGTTGGGTTATAATTCAATTAAACACATCTTTTTTATTTTAATATCTGATGTATATATTATTTGTAAGTCCAATGACCGATTGAATTATTAAAATATATATTATATATACAGTATATTATTATTAATAATAATAACAATATAACTAAAAACATATAAAACATCAGATGTCATGTTGACTGTAAAAGCAATTCATTTTATATCAAAAAACTATACCATAAATTGAATAAATCGTAAATTATGTGTTTTTTTGTTTCAAATTATTATATCAGAAATTTTGGGCCAAAAAAATGAATAATATGATTGAATAACATGTTTGAGTGTTTTATTGTGCAATAATTTTAAGCTTATAATAGAGTTAAACAATGAATTGATATATATATTATTATATTTGGTTTTAAACATAAAATACAATGATTTTTTAGTATAGGATTATTTGTTAGCACATGTTAATTAAGTATTGGTATCTATAGACACACTATTTGATTATTATTATTATATAATTTAAAATAATTGTAATTCTAATATCAACTTTTTATTTAGCAAATTATTCAAATAAATTTTCATACATAAGGTAATAAAATTTAAATAATTTTTTTATTGCGCAAAATAAATTACAATAAAATTCAAAGTAAATGAAAGTTTAAAAACCTATAATATAAAAAGTTAATGACTTAATCTAAACACACAATTATTGAACTAATATAATATAAAATTTAGTTTTGCGTAATATATATAATAATAATAATAATAATAAATTGTTATAAAATATAAAGAAATTATTGACTGATCACAAAAAGTGATGTATTTTCGTGTAATTATTAAATCATTGATGTCAGCGACCGATGGGCTGACTGACTACCTGTGCCAATGGCTTATCACAACATTTAAACACATGTCTAAGCAATTAATTATTTATTTATACAGACTATTCATATATGAGTAATACTACATTATACACAATATTGTATAATAATTTTATAATAATGTTGTATTAGTTTTTTACTATACATTTTGCATAGCAAAAAATACTAAATATTATTGTTGTTAAAAGTTTAAAATAACTTTTCTATGTTAAAATTATTTATCTAAAAATCAATGTTTAAACAGATTATCACAAATATTATATATATACTAAAAACATAATCTAATTTCGTATCGTAAAAATATTGATATCATTAACTTTAAACTTTAAGAACTTTTTTATTTTTTAACTTAAATATTTGATATCAAATAATAGAGTAATAAATCACAATTAAATTGATATACTAGATGGTTTAAATAACAAAATATATCAAGGTAAAGTTATAGGTGTTAATAATTTAGGTACAAAAATTATTTTCGTGTTTTTAAAACGCGCGTGATTTCAGACACATTATTGATTCCAATGCATTGTTATTAATTTGAATACACGTAAATAAACAAAATGCAGTGATTATCATAAAAATGGTTAAAATACAAGAATTTTCAGATGCAATTCGCCAACAAATTATGATATGAGAGTCAGCACCGGAAAGTCATACGCAAAAATAGCGGAACTGTTTACAACAACTGATAATACTGTCCGATCAATTGTAAAGAAAGTCGAAAAGTACGGGACAGTTAGAAATCTCGCAAGAAGTGGTCGAAAAAGATGTACCAGTGCTAAACAGGACAGGATATTGAGTCGAATTGTGGCAAAAAATAAGAAGTTGACCACCGATGAGATTAAGGAAGAGTTCCAGAAACATTTTGTGTCACCGAAACACTATTAGACACCGGATTCAAGAAATGGGTTATTACAGTTATTGCGCGAAGACGTCCAATTAACAAATCAGAGAAAACGATTAGACTTTGCACGAAAGTACATCCGGATGCCTATGTCATATTCTTGTGGTCAGATATTTGAGATTATTAGTACTAAACGTCGCCAACGAGTAAAAAGAGAGGCGAAAGCATTAATCTGATAATATATGTCCAACTGTGATATGGTATGGGGGTGTATGACAGGCCAATTGGCCATTTGGTCGATCAATATGGATACATTTATTAACGATATTTTGACCCCACATTTGCTTCAGAGTGCCATCTACAAATAAGCGATGATTTTTTATTTCAAGCGGACAACGACCCAAAGCACACATCAAAATTGGCAAAGAAATGGTTGTCTGACAATCAAATTGAGACACTTGAGTGGCCGCCACAGAGCCCTGACCTCAATATTATTGAACATCTATGGGATGAATTGGACAGACGTGTGCAAAGTTTTTCTGCGTTTAAAGAGTCGTTATTTAATGTCTGGAAAAATATACCTGAAGAAGTCACAGAAAAGCTGATCCAAAGTGTTCCAAGAAGATTGCAGGCTGTGATTGATGCCAACGGAGGCAATACTCGATATTAATATTGTTTTTACTAAATTAATAGCTTTATTTTGTTAATAATATTTAAAGTTTTGATTTCACGAAAATACTTTTTGTACATAACTTTTTTTACCATTTCTTACTTTTATGCTTTTTTATAGATAATATGATAATTAATGCATTATAAACTTTGAAAAGTGTTCTTTCATTTGATATCAAATTTGTTTATTTAAGTTAAAAAATAAAAAAGTTATTAAAGTTCAAAGTTAATGATATCAATATTTTTGCGATTATATATATACTAAATATTTGTATTGAAAACAGTTTATTGAGGACTACATTGAGTACTGGTCTCTAAACTGTACGTATTATTTGATTAGCAAATAATATTGATTTGACTTATTTTCCTGTGAAATGTTTTTTATTTTATTTTATTTTTTTTATATATAAAATTTAGTGACTAATAATCAGGAATAATAGTTTTATTGCAATAAATATGATTCAATGTTTTATATTTATAATTAAGATGATTCATTTTATTTTTTATTTTATTTCTAATGAAAATATATTTAAATTAAAAATAAATTATTAACTTTAAACATATTGCTTAATAAAAAAAATTGGTTCCAAAAATGCTTGACAGGGTTTTTTGGATATAACTTTTTTAAAGTCATACTACTAATGTAATATAAAATCATGGAGAATTAGCACATTTTTTCTATTACAGCTCCGGGATGTGAGGAAAGGGATGTATTATATCTCGAAAACTATAAGAGATATTGAAATTCTATTTAAAAAAAACTATAATATACTGATACAAAATCATTAGACACGTGTTTTTGGGAATTTTCTACAAAATTTTGGTTGTATTTGAATAAAAAACTGATAAATGTCAAAAATTGTAATATTTCAATAGGACATAAATTAAAAGTATCTTGGTATATTGTTATGTAATTGATTGAATTGTATTCTATATTTTATGTGTAATAATAATACTATTTACAATATTTACTTAATATTTTTTTTAATATTTATAAAAATCATTTTTCCCATTATATACGGTATATACTTATAAATCTCATTATTGCATTTTAATTAAGCAAATTATATAATGTGATAATTGTTTTTCTTAAATATTTTAAAAACTAAAAATATTAATTAAATATTGTAAATAGTATTATTATTATTCTTACTCATAAAATATAGAATATACTTAAATTAATTGCATTGATAAAAACTAATGTAAT